TTGCCATTATCGTCGTCAGAATCGGTCACATGAGAAACGCCAGTTTGGCAATAGTAGCAGATAGAGGCGCAAGAGGTCGCCCTGATAGATGGTAACTAAAAATAAATATGGCACTGACGATCTAGCGGCTAATGCTTGATTACGATCCCAATGAGATACAGTGTTTTGTAGTTCATACTAACAACGACTGTGTTACCAGTGTGTATCACGCAGACGAAGAACTTGCTCGCACTACTAATGACGGCTACGCCAGCAGGCGGTGATAATAATAGTCATAAGGAAGGCGAAATGTCTGAAGGCCATAGTATTTCGCTCAATAGTAGTAGTAGTAGTAGCATATAGTAACTAAATGCTATAAAGTCAGTGATAACGAGTGAGTGACTCACAAAGTGATCATGGCGCTGCTGGTGCGATCGCAGAGACAATGTCGAAACGTGTCGAAGTAAGAAACTATCGATACAAACAGCATTAGTCTTAGGGACATTATCTTGTAGGGAAAGTTGTAAAACAAAAAAGCTGATTTAATATATACGGACTGTAGACTACTTACTTACATTAATGAAAATATTGAAAAGCTAAACACTTCAAACATTGAACAAGTTTGAAGCTTCAACTTATTTTTGTTGGCAGAACTTTACCAAAATGTCTGGAATATGTAGCATTTAGCACGTAGAATCACCGTTATGACAAGCGTAGGTCTTTTAGCACGCTAATTTTTAGCAAGGGTATCTCTGTGGTGTGAGCGAGGAATCAGCTTAGTAAAAATAATGATTCTTATTACACTTGGTGCTAATGACCTATATAAAGATTCTAACTTTTGCTCTGAATAGGGGTCCAACCTCGTCCCGTGAGCCGACCTGCAGAAATGGCGGATGGGAATGGTGATCACGTTCGCATAGCTAGCGAAGTTGTACTCTGTACTTATTTTAGGACAACATTTAAGGTTCGAACCTGAGCTCACTTACATGCGGCTCCCACTGTCTATCTCTTCGGCACTGATTTTTTTATTTAATTTAATCTAACTTTTCATACATTTGTTGTATAAAATGCATTAGCTAATATGGCTATTAATAAAGGAGCACCAATTGCTCATAAGACTAAAAAAGAATGGCCTTACCTAATGGCTAATTACCTAAAAACAACTAAAAAAATCGGGTTATGACTGTTAGTGACTGGTTTATACTAAATATTTTGGCAGCTACATAAAAATCATTTTTTTAGTGTTAAATAGCTGTTTATCTTAGCCAGTTTCTTCTTACGAACATTAAATATAGATACTGCAATTTACTGTTACGAACGTGCGAACTCGTAAAAAAAAAAAAAAAAAAAAAAAAAAAAAAAAAAAAATTCGCCATTATTTGACAATTTCCTAATCTTCACATGCCAGAGTATTTAGATAGATACTAGTACAATCGAAGATCATCCAAGCAAAAATAAAAACACATTATTCTTTTACACTTTTCGTAGCGATGTGAACCTTTTCCACAATAAAGAAACTGGTCGGGCCCAAAATCGCCTGATGCCTGAGCGAAGGAATCCTTATTTTTTGCTGGAATAGTGAGATCATTGTTGAAAGTTATCGATTTGGCACAATCTGTTTCATCTAATTTTAGCATGCTTTACGCACTCTGAGCTAATTCGTAGCAAAGGTATCATTCGATATATCGCCATTTTATTGCCGTGCTGAGATCCGAGGGGATTAGGAAGGTGTCGCTTGAAAGCTCCTTAGCTCACAACGGCGAACTCGACTAAAAAGCTGAAATCCGATCAAGCAGTGCCGGAGTCTGATAACTACAGAAAACAATGTTTTCCTTTATCATCACTATCGGTTTCTCACGAGTATTGAGTTTAATTTACCAACAGTGAGTAGGACACGCTGCTTTGTACACAACTCCGGCAGACAGATAATGCCAAACAGATGCTATGGCAAGGTGACTTAATAACGTAGCATAACTCATCGGATTATGACTGTTTGCGATAGAATAGAGCACTGCCAAGATTTGAATGAATTTCGAATTTAATCAAGCTCGTATAAACAAAATTTTAATTATAATTCAATTGTTTTTATGGGGTGAACTTGCCATTAAATTAGCCAATAGATGGATTGACGCCGACGGACATATTTCGACGTGGCCTTAACATAGAGCAACCCTGCAAATTTCATTGATTTAATATAATAATAAAACTTCAAAATTTTCAAATTTTAGGTTTTTTTTTCTTCGAAAACGTAGGTACAGCGTTGGACACAATTATCGCGTAGTTTCGAGTGCATCCAGGGGCCCATTCCTGTATTTACCTCATGACCTTGACTGTGTCTGTCTAACTCGCAACGCGTCACTCGTATGTCCAAGGCAGGCGCTCTCAAATCGCCTATGAGTACCTATGATTAATTAGCAAGAGGCAAATCTGGAAATATAGGTATCACAATATGTGTCTTGCGAAAGGCCGCCACCTGCAAAGGTTCTTGCAGAATACATTAAGAGTTCGTGCGCCATCGGCCCGCTACACAGAGGATTTCACTATCAACGATTGATTGCCTCGCGTATTGGAATCTCAACCTATCCAAAATACAGTGTACGCGATATTAAAACTTAATAACTAGTTATGACAACTTAGGTGTCAACGAATGGAGCTGTCGTTGCAGAACTTATGTTGCACTTGGATATACATACAAGTTGAAGTTACAGCCTAGTAGCATACGCCTTAGACGACTTCCAGGTGGGACAGGCCTCTACTAGCTAACGTCCTTGCACTAAGTTATTGAACGGATGTGTCATAGGGAAGATCGACTTGCTTGGCTTGCGCAGGCGAAAAAATAGGTACAGCATGACGTAAAAGCTCATAACACCTTTCCCAGCGCAGATGTTCCGGGACTGTCGACAATAATCTGTTAAAGTAAACGCATTACAAGAACAGATCATTCCAACGACTGAGGTCTGCAAAGTTTACGCGTACAAATGTTCTATACATCTAAGCCAACAACTGAGTTAATTTAGATATATACACAGGTTGATTTGTGTTGACCGAAATGTCTATAATTTTTGCAGCTCATTTCCGTTCGACTTAATACGACTCCCGAGATTATTTCGAACCTGAAGCGTCGACAGTGAAATGTAACATTTGGCCATTGTACCCGGAGCGATCCGAAGATCATTGGGTGATTTTTTCATGCTGACCGCTCACATTAGAAACAAATTTTTCAACTGCGACGCGCTTTGATATGCCGATCACGCAGAGCGTCTGGGCGAGTTCGAAGACGCTATCCGGCGTTATTAACAGCATCGACCGCCTTTTAATGCGATTTTACTACAGATCAGCTTTATGACGTCTGCATTTGAAGTTTATTTCTTCATGGCTCCCCCCAGTTCTCAGGCAAATGTATGGGTGTCATCTCGAGCAATAACGGTTCGAGGTGCGCCTTTTGCCTTTTTCTCAAACTGTCCTGTTTGGTTTCTTTTTTTTTTCTTTATTTCTGTTACTCTCTTTGTAATTTGCTGTTCATGTTGCTTCCAAATCAACGCGTCACCTAACGCTGGCAACCATCACAACACACTAATAAAGAAGGGACATTCAATATAGAGGTAGATCGAAAAAATCTCCTGTGGGCCTTGAAAACCCAGCTCGGGAACTCAATTGAGACGTCGAAAAAAACATTTGTGGGTTCGGCCCTGCCAATAGGCTAGTGCAAGTGAGACTTTCAATACACTAAATGTATTTTCGCAAAAGTGTTCGAACGACGAGGATGCAGGAGAAATCTTCAGGGGTCAATTGTGCAGATGGGAACGTTAGACGAACTCCGAAACGGTTGAAGATGTCAAAAACTCTCTTAAGACAAAAGATAAATGGATTTAATGCATCGGTTGTATAATAAACTCTAGATACTTATTATATCCTAATAGGCCAACATAGATAGTGTTTAACTTCGGGCAGAACCAACTATACAATTTCTAGTAATCATGTCGTAACTAATCTTTTGTTGCTGCTAAATGGCAGCCAGCTTACTGGCGAATGACCAACAGTGTGGGGTTGAAGCGAAGGCCAACTGTTATACGGTTTACTAACAGGGTTGGCTGCCCACTGACCGTGTCTGGCCATACGGAAAATCCGTAGGTTAATAGAAGGCGTGGTATATTTGAAAACTATGCCTTACCGGCGGATGTCCGCTAGGGAACCGATAACGTCTCCTATATGTCACAATACGTGTCGAGACCATGGCGGCTTAAATCAACTACCGGCTGAACTTCCTAGCTTGTTTCGACGTTACTCTGATAGTAACTGAATGAACTAGACAGTTTCGAGATAAGTTTCAGTCGTCTTTTAATAGCTCGTCGGATTCATAGCAAGCGCACATTACATCGTATCGTTAGAGTAGTACCTGGTTGTCTCTGATATGATAGCGTACACTACAGACCATCCTAAAACCTAACCCCCATGCCTTCATAAATCCACTGAATATAGAGCATCGTAAGAAAATTTTCTAGGGGATCAAGTTTATCTTATTAGAAAAAACATTGCAGTTATAAAGAAATATTCCTTTATAAACCTGAAAGCTGCTGGCCAACGATAATGAAAATGATTTGGCTTTGTGAGAAGCTGCCTACACTACAATCCGTATGCCAGCAGTCATCGTACGATGATCTTTTCCGGGGTGCAGACGCTTAAAGCAGGCCTGCAAAGGCCATTTGTGAATAATTGGTCACAAATCAACCTAATTAAATTTAGATTCTACTAACTGATACCACAGAGCAAGCGGCTAGCGGTATTCATTAGTTCGAAAACGTTATAAAGCTGTACACTTCAGAGATCCGGCATGCGCGGTCCGGTTCGTCATACGCAAATAATGGCCAAGGCTAGACTACGAAGAACGGGGCATGCTATCTGAATCACTCTGGCGTTTGATTCTGTGAACGTACGGCGATTCAGCTGAGAGTCCAATTGAAGGCATTTCTTCGAAAAATAAAATCTTCATAATAACGTACGACTAAAAAGCACAAGTCTTATACAAATATATATATATATTTTTTATTCACATCAATACAGTTATTGATTATAGTAAACATACATATTAATGTTATCTGTATACTGTTGGCGTTCGCATGCTTGCTCGAATGAGGATATTTGTAAAGTAGATATTTCTATATACATGCTATCTGTTGGCGGTCACGTACGAAAGACAATACAACCTTATCATAGATATTACTATTGCACTACGAATGTATGATTATGTCACAAAACCTTTTATAGAAACCGATGCACGTCCTTTGTGTTGGCAGGCCCAGGCACTCATCATATTGGCACATTGCACAGAAAATGGTGTGCACCTTGGATTTGTCAAAGGGCTGGCATTTTACATGCCCCTAAGATAAATGCCTCATTATTGTCATCGTTATTACTACTGTTATTGCTAATGTGGCTACCTTGAAATTTTGCTACTCCCGACTCTGTCCTGATTTCGCCGTAATACCTACACCTTTACAGGTAAATGTACATAGAGCAACCGGATGGCCGTTTCATTCTTCGTTTGTGTATGTGGCAAATCCCGGCTCTCCATTAAAGCTTCACAGACCAAAGTTTTATTGCATGGTCGATTTGACTGGCACGGTCAATTCCCGCCTCGGGTATAAATTCGTTTCCATTTCCTTCTACCTGGACACCGGAGGGCGATTGTTACGACGTACACGGAAACGGGTCTCGGCATACTCGTCTCTTCCTGCTACCTAATACTTGTTGTTATTGAAGTTACGAAAAAAAAATATGAGCGATTTGCAGCGAGCGACTAGATTAGCAGTAGACACAGTTATATCCACTAGATGGCACCTATGAATTCACTCTCGCATTCAACTTCTTTTAAATGCTGTCACGCCTTCAACATATATGCATTTGTTAATCTCAACGTTCGGTCTCTCTGGCGAACACGGATATTTCTCGATGGCTCTGGATTTACTGATTCATTTTCCGGCTTTTCTCGTCAATACCTGTGGCTCGGTGTATACTGTTCGCTGACAGATTGTTTGTATACATTAGTCCTCGAATTCAGCTCTTCCCGTTAGCATAGAGTCTCATTCCTCTGATCAGATGGAACCATCGCTGTATCCACCGAATTCGGTGCCATCCGAAGCTATCAGTTCCTGGATGTCTCCATACAGTTCGTCCAGGGTCAGATCCATTCGTTCGGTGGACGGGTGCGCACTTTCAGCCTCTGCCAGTACCCGGCTCAACGCGTTAATGTAGTTCATGGCAAGGCGAAGCGTTGTAATTTTCGTCAGCTGTTTCGAATCGTCCTCGTTCGGTACTCCGGGCACCATGCTTTTTAACCGCTCGAAAGCATCGTTGATTTCCTGCATCCGGAAACGTTCGCGGGCGTTGGCTGTTTTTCGGCGGTACTTCGACAGCGGAGCCGGACGGGCTTTTTCTTTTGGACCTACGCTCTGAGCTTGGCTCAGACGTTTTCGTAAAGAGCGCGGCCGTAGGTTGAACCTCGTACCCGAACTATCCGAATCCCCATCAGAGCTGTGCATGGTGAACTGATGAAAACAGGACCCCCAATGCCTTTTCCAGACACCTCCTTTTCAGTTAGCTGAAATCCTCAAATTTAAGCAGACGAACAAATGGGTCAACGTCAGTCGAAAACATCATAATATCATCATGCGCCTATTTCATTTGCCTCTAAACGTTAACTCTGTCTCGTTCACACGTGCACATGCAATACCCCTGTCAAATGATTCATATCTCATACGATACGATAGCTGCTCATGTTTTTTGCGACTATCCCGGTATTCGCGTATACTATACGACTCTGTTGCAATTCTGTTCTGTGGCTGATAGAGGACATGCGAGCGGAATGGCCGATAATACTGCATGGGTCTTCGGTTGCCAATGGCAACAGGTGCACCGATGCAAGTCTACGGCACAATCGTATCTATCGCAAAACAGCACGCGCCAGCCCGAGTGTTTATTTCCGACACTTGGCGGGGCCTATTTATAACGTGGAGCTAAGCATAAATACGGCCTACGCAGTTTAGTCAGTCACCATCGATGGCAGTAATAACAACACAAAAATAATAATGATAATACCAATCGCTGTCGCGGCCCGACGGCCTTTTGCCGTCACACATTTTCGTGCCGCAGTACGCCATTAACATGCCGCATGCGACATCGACGCCAGCGACGTCCTGTTACGAGCGAGAATTGATTCCGGCGCCAGCTATAGCGCTCTAACTGGCTAGCCATTAGATGAGGGTTGTCGGATGATGATGATGATGGCTAGAGACGAATCAGTGATCCTGGCCGCTGCTTTCTCAATCTGCTGCACGCGGGTCAAGCGTGGGCAGACCGTACGCTTTCGGTGGTCGGTCGAAGACTACGAAGAGGTTGCCGCCGCGGTGATGGCAGTTGCCACAACACAGAGGCAACCAGAACAGCTTCTACTGCAACAGCCATTGCCAGTTCACTGGCATTTCACCGCTACGACTACTATGATTCAATAGTGGCCAGGACGATAACAACGACAGCCCCCTGACAGGCCGACCCAGTCAGCCAGGCACTTATTCAGTGCGTAAAGAAAATGTCTTGACGCAGTCCTGATTGCTGCTGCTGCTGCTACTACCGCTGTTATTGTAACGGTGGCTCTTTCGACGTAGCGCAGGCAGCAGTTCGGCTCTGCAGAGCGAGACTTAGTATACAGTAGCGTAATGTATATAGTAGGCGTTCGAGCTCAAGGCATCCGCAACTTTGACACTCGAAAATGATTTGTCTGTGTGGCCTGATGCCAAGACGCCTGTCTGGTCAAAGTTGCTTGACGGTAAATGCTGTTATGTTTGACGGTACTGATAGACCGGGTGTCTTTCGACGGGTACAACACAATTTTCCTGCCAAATATTTGTTCTCGTGAACCTTGAATTTACATACGCACGCGTACGGCACTAATTCAAGCCAAAACGAATGTTGGTAGAAGGAAGGGACGGTGGACAATTAGAAGCAGAGCGCCTTTCGATTATTGCGCAGTTATAGCTAAACAGGAGCTGGTAGGCGTCGGTGTCCTAGATTGGTAGATAGCTGTCAGGTTTGACGAAAACACTCTTTACCAGCGCAAAACTTTGAGCGTAGTTGGAGTATGATGACCGTGTGTGTGTCAGTATGGACTCGCTTCTTGGAAGATCGATCGTTATTGCAGACGTAGTGATTACTTACACAACGTACTAAAGTCCCGATCGTAGAGCGCTAAAAGCTACAATCAACACAATGCGTTACTAATAGACAATAAAATGAGTAATACGTTCCAACTTTGAATTCCTCGAAACGATTTCTGAATTTTTAACGTCTAAACGCGATGTTGTTTGGGGTTTAAAGTTACGACAAAGCCCATGACAATCGGCCGCTTGATTCATCGAAACTGCGTCCGAAAGGTTATAAAATGCTTCATACAAGAACAGAAACTAGGGCCACTACATATCCAAAGGGCTAATATAAGTAAACGATTAAGTAACTGTACTAAGTTGATGTATCTATGTGAGAAGCCGAGGCAGGCATTAAGTTAGTCTAACTCACAATAACTGTTTTAAATTTGGTTTAGGCGGCTGGCTCGCTGAACAAGACGAAGCGCACCCACGCCTGGTTTCTGGAAATACCAGATCATCTCTCGTACCCTTAAGCTTGGTAGGCAAACACGTCCTCACCGCATCATCACGTCCCTGTCATCATAATCGATATTTTTTGGATATCCGAACATTTACGTACCTGATGCTGGTAAATCGAGTTAAAGGGCTAATACAAGATTTTTAAAACCTACAACACACACAGTTTTTGTCTACTGCTTTGATGTTATTTAACATAAATCTGAGGAATAGACACTGCGGTCAGGTATGTAGGTTCTCACGACCATAGATTTTTAAATTTAGTCAGTAATACAGTTTTTTTTTTTTTTTTCAGTATCCATCGCCTCACCTTTTCATACGAAAAAAAAAAAAAAAGACGTGTGTTCGTAAGGTAACGCTTTCAACAGCTTCCCTTTGGCGAAAATGGTGCCCCCGTTTAGGCCTGTCGAGCCTTAGGCAGCTAGACCTCAGAGAAGAAATAGCACGGGAACGTACTGGCTTAAAAGAAGGGGCCAAAAAGGCGGTAAGCAACGTACATGCCGGTGGCATCCCAGTCAACAAAGGACCTGTGTACCGTTATAAGTTACAGATACTACGGTACCAAATTCCTCAGTTAAGACTGATGTCATTGTGCTATCCGCGCACATAATTATCGTTTTCATTTCGGTTCATAAGTTCCTCCCATTTTTTGAGCACTTGACAAATACGTCACCAAGAAGACGTTACAGTAAAACGTTAACAGTAAGGACTCCACTCATTTAAGGCACAGCAAAAAAGGGCATCGAATTTCGTTAGGAAAAAAAGTTTTATTTTAATGTAGAAGAATAAAGCAAAACAAACATCGTTGTCCGCGAAGAGAACAACTCGCACCGCCAAACAACAAATTACCTACCTATTGGTCTATCACAGAAACACACACACACACGTAAACACCAATAACACCGATACGATGACATGAGCTAACACGCACGTGCCATAATATCCGGGGATTTTAGACCAATTTTATCATTTATATGTAACGTTATATTTATATGTACTTACGAAGTTAGAAAGATGTGATGGATAATTTCGGACCAACTACGACCGTCTGCCGATCGGTCACCAGCCCACCGCAGAGTTCTGCGGCTTGAATTCTCCTTGCTTGAAGGTTAGTCCTCACTCCAGTGATGACATATATTAGTGTAATACAACAGGGTATGCAGCGCTATATAGGAGGGGTAGGTTTAGCTTATAGAAGCAGTAGCAGCACAAGAAGCACACGATAAGCGGGTCGAGGAAGCACAAGGCTTTCTGCAGTGCGCAACCGGCCGGCAAGGTTTTTATCACTGGCCCTTGAAGGGGCGGTCCATCAACGAGGGAGGCCCGATAACGCTCACCGAAGGAGGAGCCAGAAGTTAGAACGTCGGTGAGCGCCGAAGCACCGTAGTGCCGAAAACGACGACAAGAACCGTACGAAAATCACGGTTCACCTGCTGCAGTGGTTGCTCCGAATGAGAAAAACGCGCAGATCGGCTTAAATCGGACCGAATGGAAGACGGAGATTTTGACTGGATGTTACTGTCCGTGAGTATCTGTTCGATTCTGAAGGGAGTGCAGCCGCCCTAACGTTCCAAAGACTAGATCTGTTTATGAACAATATAAACGGTAGAGCGATTTCGGAACGAACTTTACGGTGACTTAAAGCGAAGATCGACGCTGGCTTGTTTAAGAGGAAGGCACTTCACAGCAGTTGTTGAAAAATGAATGATCCTTATTAGACCATTCGATGGGGGTGAACTCAATAATGCGAAAATAATTGTAATCGTGGGCCTGTAGGAATAAAGAGATCGAGGATGTTAAAACTACGTATCATGTTTATTTGAGGCCCGGCGTTTGCATGATGATCAGTACTTCTGTTTGGTGACCATCACCTTCTAAGCCTGACTGTTAAGGCTGCCCAGGATATACGGAGAACAAACTTTACCCAATAGTCAAATGATAGCGGTTATAGATTTCATCCTGTGCCCATTATCGTTAGACTTATGGTCTCGGAATACTGAATGAAACTTACTAGTTTACATTGTTGTTCCATTGGTTTAAGTTACGCAAGTACTGGCCAAGATCAACTTCTTACCGTTGTTCACATGTGTGGCTTAGTCAATACGCCCAATGCTGAAATGGAGCTGATAGTTGTTGTGATGCAGGTAAGCTACTGTAACAAGGCTTACATCGAAGGATTTAGCCTTTACTTTGAGCACCCTCCAACTGTGCTCGTTACCAGTTCAGGGGGACCTCTATTAATGATAGAAAAAAAAATGAAAGCTAGTATAGATACTGTTTAATGAGCTGTTTGTATTTTTTTATTTGTTTTTTTCTTGCTTCGACACGACAACTAACATTTGGCCTGTTACGTAGTTTTGATCTATAGCCTGCAATGGCCTACGAGCCGTGGTGCGATGGGATATCGTTCCGGTAAAATGGGAACCGTTCTTTCAAGGACGCCATCTCGGACGCGCCAATGAAGAACGATTCCCTCAATAATGAACAGTTATATGTACGGAAACATAGGCTCGTAACGGTTATAAGAGGGACATGATCTGGCTTTAGCGATTGAGCGCCACCGTACAATTGCCAAATGTGTTCTACACCCGTAAAGACTGAGTTGCTGCTTTAAGGAATTATAACAGGAGTTATCTAGCTCAGCTGTTTGCAAAGCAAGGGAAACGTGCCTGCTTCGCATAGCCTTAACAAGTTAATCCTGATAAGTGTAGGAGCCTCTGGTTGAAAGCACGGTGCGTTTGCCGTATTCACTATCCTGTGCGACTGCTGCCCGTCATACTGCTCGCACGTATTGTGTCAATATATTGAATCTATTCACAACAAATGCTATCCAATCGACAAATAGACCGCGTGCGCTTGCCTGCTTCTTTAAACAAGGCGTATCGCCACGTACTGCCATCCCATTGTAGAATCGCATATAGCGCCAATGTATACGAAATCGGGCCACACGTCGAGTATTTCGCACCTGCCGCAGCAAGGTTGCTCCGAGTCGCGTGCCGCTTTGTCCTCCCTAAGGATACGTAAACATTAAAGCGCAATAAGTGAGCTGCTGTAAAGCTGGTGACCGGCAGAGAATCGGATTACGGTGGCCATATTTTACCAAATGACACGTTGCCAAGATTCGTTTTGAGGGGTAACGGTGGGAACCATGAAGACAGCCCGTGTGTGTGTCGGGTGTTCGACTATGTCATATTTCTTATGGTATACTACATGGATAAAAGTGCGGATAAAAAAATGGGATAAAAAAAATTTAACTGAACCTTCCAGAGAGCCATCTGGCGCCCACATAAGGGAAAAGCATATATATAGCTTTTACTGCACAGCGTTGATATGGACAACGAAGGTATAACTGTGCGAGTGCTTCTGACGACATTAATACGATGGGAAAAAATGAATTTACAGAAACTTTGACAAGGAGATTTACGATGGCCGAAATTGAAACAGGGAGCCGGTCCGAGGGTTGGAACAGTTTCATCCGACATCTGTAATATCTTTGCCCTTTCAGTAAGCTTAATATGCGCATTAAAAAATGAATGATTTTCTAATTCCCTACGAGGAATGATCGCTGTCTCTATCGAAACCGTTACCGTCGATAGTTTCAACCATTCTAATTGGTTTTGCTAAAATCGTAGGAAAAGAACTGCTGAGTTCGAACATCCTGAAACATCAGCAATCTGAAAAGTAGAGGATTTAGCTTACATATGTACACGACAACTGTTCTGTGCCTATTTTAGCGACTGTATGGTAGTACAACATTACACATCTGAGACTGAGTGTCCTGTCCCACCCCACAGGTGCGGGCCTACCATCAAACGCCACCCATGCGATCGATGCACAGATGTACACGCAACGAGTCTATGAAGACTCAAACAATCATGGGATGAGCTTACGGAGTTCGCTCAACGCTAGAACAGCAGCTTAGCTAGGGTCTACTCACTGACAAAGGCGTACTCCTTTCTACACTGCCCTCCACGTACCCCGCGTCGCACGTAACGGACCGTTAACAGGCTCACCGATTTAGTAGTTTGCGTTTGCCCATCTGGGTTATCCGCTCTCCGCAACGACCAAAAGTCAAAAAACCAAGTAGCGTTGGGCGTCGCCACCAGTTCTTCTGCTTCTGCCAGCGTATCGCGCACGTCTCTTAATTGAACGAATTCTTGCTGCTGTTACCATTGTTACCGCTGCTGATATTATTGTTGTTGTATATGTAGTTGTTGATATTGTTGGCAAAATGTCTGCGCCCTTCTAACGTGCTCTGTAACACAATAAGGCCATTGTCGAATATCGCATGGTAAGCTATTGTCTCATTTTTTACGATATTTTATTTACCATGAATCGGTGTAGTAGTTAGCACGTGAAATAATGCCGTTTTAACAACCAGAGAAGGTGGACAGGATGCGATGTCAAGGTTAGGTCCATTCTTTTATGAGTCTTGAATGCGAACACCTGTGAAAAAATATCGAAAACGCGTATTTATCTATTAATTAATCTCTTATGGCAATTGAACAGGTATAGGCGTGCCTCAAATATCAGTCACTAAAATAATAAAGAGCCTCACTGTCAGCGAACACAGCATGTACTTGGCTTCTGAGCCTGAAGTGAGGACCCTGTAGAATGGATGACCTGAATCGAAATTAAAAACCTAATGAGATTTTTATTCACCCTGTATGAAAGTTTGTTCGAATCTACTAGCAGATCTGTAATGCTGTTAATTAATTTATTTAGTTTCCCTTTCAATTTTAAAGAAGTAACTGCGTTCATCAGACACGCTTAAATACAAAGTATGACAGTGTATACAGGATCGAAATTTTCGAAGTACAAAATTGAGTGCTTTGCAATAACATTCACAGCTTGTTGTATGGTGTTTCTACCCTTTAATTTTACATTAGTTCCTTATTTTCGAATTTATTCACGATACAAACTGGCCACCACCCGGAACATGCTGTTTGCCCCTCTACGCTGAGCCGAAGGGCGTATCAGCTTTAAAAGTACACAGATATAACGCGTCTTTTTTACGCCGAGACAGTTTCTTTGGACGCCTTACGTCTATTGTAAACAGATTCAAAGCAAGCCAAGGAGCGCCATGAAAACTATCATCGAGCGATCCTTTAAGACATCTTCGTCTTTTTTTATAATTTGTTCATTTTTCTCGCCAGCTCTATCTGCTCTCAGACAGCTCGCGCGCGAATAGAATACAGATAAACAGATGTCGGATACAAAATCGAGGCTGGTCACAATCTTATTTTGTTTGGACGGCCCCGGCGTTTGAACCGCTGTTCCTGCCGCTGCCCTACGGAGGCAGCACTGACAACCGGCAACGATAACTGACGGAGGTGTATAATCATCACGTCAAATGTTTCGCAGTAATGTATATATTTGTATGTACACTGTTGAAAAGCACGCTTCGTTCATCTGCTGGCTCTTTTGTTACAGTTTCCGTATACTCACTTATTCAGCTTCCTATCCGTTACTGACGTGATATAAACGTTTGCGGATTGAGCTAAATCTCGAAGTTGGTCAGACCCTGAAACTCGAAGCAATCGATGGTCCAGCGCACCTCAACTTTATAGTGGAGGTTTGCTTCTCGATGTAATTGCAAATAAATAAGTAAAAGGGCCGGATAAAATCTGGCCTTATAGATTAGTAGGTTTATTCGAAGAATAAATAGACTTACTTTTCGGGAATCGATCTGTTAAATATACAGAAAATGGTCCGAATAGAACGTATACAACGATACTTAGTTCTTCTACGTCCTTTACGCGAAGGTTTTAAGCCAAGGTTAGTTATTGTGAGGGCAAATTTATTTCAACTAACCGAAACGCGTCGTCCACCGTCGACAATGATGCCTATATTCACGCCACTTGGTATGATCATTGTTACTCGACAAATTACTAATCCTATTTAGTTGAATGTCTATAGAATTTCGATCGAACTGTGTCAAATGCAGATCGATTCCTCGGAGGCCTAGGTTAGGCCCTTCTGACAGTGCGAATTCAAGGCATATCGACAGGTTCCACATGCTGATCCGCATCAGCTTGCCAGGATGCCACTGATTGAAGTAACATCTGTGTAGATTTGAACTACTTTGTGTACTCCATCGTTTTCTAATATCTGTATTTCGTCATCTTTGGTGGTTCCTCTCTCGTGTTGTACAACACAGTTAGGTGTTCAAAAGTAGAGGTGCCTTCAGCGACTGTCGTCGAGTAACCTGCGAACGCGCGAAAGAACAC